CTCCACTGAAGACAGAGTGAATTTGTGTAGCTACAATGCTAACACATGTGGTGACAAGGTAAGAGGTCATATCGTACATCGTACAGTGCTCCATCCCCGACGTGCTAGGACAAATAGTACACCTCTGCCGATGCAGAGTTGGAACAAGAGGAACGCTACGCCCAACTGCAGCGCAGCTACCACACTGTGCAGCGTTGCAAAGTTCTCCAGCCTGCACTGGGACTTCCTGTCCCCTCAAGCCGAGCTCTCCCAAGTAAGAGAAGCTCAGGCCCCACTGCAGAAGAGCGGGAACGAATCAGAGACCCAGCCAGGCCAGGTAAGTGCAACCACTGACCTCCATGATAGTAAGTGCCCTGACACTACCTCAGACCCCGAAACAGGTTCTTGTCCAGGCACTAACTGCAAGCTGACGGAAAAAATAGCCCTCCCTCAACCGCTTGAAACAGTGCAATGGCAGTGGCCCAGCAACGCCAGCAAACCTAGGGGCCACGGCTAGAAGTGTTGAACAAATTCTGTAATGGCGACACCGTTTCTAAACTACCTCAAACGCATCTTTAATATTTACTGTCCATGTCAACATATCCATGCTTATATTGGCCAGTAAATATAGGCCAAGCTGGCAGGTGGAGTTGCAGATGAGCTCTTTAAGTTCAATAAAAACTAATTTGAGTTGGTTTATTAATATTAAATAGATAAGACAGGTTAATGTTTGAGCAATGAAAAAGATCCACATGATACAGGTTGTGTTTTTAGCAAGTCATGTAAGAAAATACATATTGAATAAAGTCAACATTTTGTGCACCCACAGACATTTGTATGAAATAAAAAAGTGAAAGTGCGCGCACACACACACACACACACACACACACACACAGCACATCTTGGATAATCTCCAAGAAAACCAAACCTACTTAATAGACTTAATATCAAGGCTATAAAACCATCATGAAACAGCAGCATCATGCCGTACATACATATGTCATGAGAATAATAAATGAATCATACACTCAGTCCAGGAGATAATCCACTCCGCACGGCCGTCCAGCCACCCAAAGGGGAACAGTTTGGCGTTGTATTAGTTTTGAATCCGAGCATAAGGTCAGAAGTCAGGCTTTTTTACAAATGTCTGTGGTGAATAGACTCAGACTGACAAAACAAACCTGCTCATCCACCTCCACCCTCAGGATCAATATCAGACATTTGGCCAGACTGCTACTTTTTTAATTCCGGTTGCAATGCTAACTACACATGTCAATCACAGTGTGGTATAGGTTGAGGAAAGATCGTGGTTATGGCTAATGGTCTGTGACAGGACACAAACTCCAGACTCATCCATGAAAGGAATGGTTTTTGTACACATAATAAGTATACAACAATGACTGTGTCAGAAAATTTGCATGGGTTTTACTTTGTTTCACCCATGGAAACACCAACACCAACAATGTGTCTCATAATCCTTTCTGATTTATGTCTTCAGTAAGAACCAAAGGGCTCTTTGGTTCTTACTGAAGACATAAATCTTTAAAAATGGTTTATTAGTTAAAGGCTCAGTAATTTCCTAAAACACCTGGATACTGTAGTTTTTACTAAATGTTACCCAAACGGGAGGAAATGGTGATCTTGATGGGGACTATTTTGAGTAGAGGATTAATACGCAATGTAGTGCTTTTGTCACCTTTTGGTATTTACAACATTAAAAGAGCTGTGTGTTTATTAAAACCAATTCCACCCACAGCTACACTGATAAACTGGAAATCAAATAGGGAAATAGGCTTGTTGATTGAAGGATTCTGTGATTTTCACCTCCCATTTCATACCTAACGCTCTCCGTTGCGCGTTGATCCTCTTAGCCACACATTGTTTCCAAGCAGCTTGCGTTTCTCTGCAAATCTCTTTATTTACAAATCATCAAGGAGGCGGAGGATGGAGCCTGGAGGATAATGTCAACTTTTTTGTTCAGTTATTTATAAACAGCATTCTCAGAGAGCGAGTAAATTTCTAAAGAGGGAGTTTTTCTAGCTTCGACCTGCAAAATTTAGCTTGTCTGCCCCATTAGACGGTGACCTTCATACTAATGCCGAGCGCGACACACCGTGCTAATTCACCTGATTCAATCTCCTCTCTGCAGAGATCACAGGGACCAAAAACAATAAAGTACCAGTATAAATTGGAGCGTTTATAGATACATAAATACTGGTTGAAATTTCTTCTTTTGGATGTGAGGAACCTTGTGGTCGTGGCTCTGATGAAAACTGTTGTATTTAATCCATGACTTTCCATGCTGTGCTTAGTTGGACCTCTTCCTTGACCTACACTTTTTTTGATTATGCTACTTTTCTAAAGTGGTGAACCATCTGCTTTTCACCACTAGCTTATGCAGTGAATGTGTGAAATACATTCTGCTGTAGTTCTGTGAAGTGACCCCGAATATGGCGTCTCCTTCGCACAAGTAATCCAATTTCCTGACCTCACCTGTCTGCAATACAACTCCTCAGAAAATCCCGAACATTTCAGCAGACCCAGCAGGCTGGAGTCGTAGTTACAGAGCTGGCAGGTCACATGTTGCTATGGTCCAGTCTATCGCTCTTACAGCTGATCTGTATCAAGCTTTATCTTCAGAAGGCTGCTGAGAAATTCAGTTATGTGGCTTCTATCATCAGTGCTTGTCAGCATGTGAGCCTCTGTCTTCTACAGACATAAGTACTAAACTCTTACTCTGCTTCAATCTCGGCTCCAAAGCTGTTTTAAGGACTAACTCTGAATTTTTTTTTTACCGCAGCTGGTCAGAATGATTAAAAACAACAGCAGTGGCATTCTTACTGAACTGTTTTTCTTTGGGAAATGAATTTCAAAATGGAAATCCACTTTAGTTATCATCACAACGGCACCATAATTCTTCAACGGCTGAATGAGTTGAACCACAAACTCCTATTTTGAAGAATAGCTACTATAAAATAAATGGTCAAAAACATCATCATCAAATGTAATGTTGGGATTATTGCATTAATAGCAAGCTCTGTTCATTTCTCAGAGTCAAAGCTGTTCCAGACGCAGAGGAAATCCCATTTGGGAAGTCAAAATTGAATTGGTGGAGTTAAAGTTGCACAGTTTTGACAGAGGACAAGTCAAGACATACTAATGTGAGGCCCTTGCTTTATCTGTCTCTCAAAGGTTTCCCCACCTAAATGGAAGTGTGATACTAAACTGTTGGAGTGCCCCTTCAATATATATATTTATTTATTGTTTTATCTGGTCAGCTAACTAAAATTCCACTGAGGTTAAACTCAACCGATACGGTTTTCTCCTGCGCCACTGATTTGCTCCTGGTGAATGTCTCCACAATTCTGACTGTAGTCTGTCACACTCCATGATGACAGTTTAAAAGCAAACACTCTAAAGGGGCACAGACGCCTGCAGAGCAAATACAAGCTAAAAGTACCTTTGCAAAGGAAGAGTGGAGGAATAAATATATTCACAAGACATGTTGTCCAGCAGACAGGTTCTCTGCTGCTCTATACAGGCCTATTTAACCAAGGAGCAGCAAAGGACTGTAACGATAGTGGGATGAAATGGAGCACCGGGTATTTCCATCCGCACACTGTATTCTCCTCTAAACATGAACCGAATGACTCTCAGCTGGGAGCAAGTCACCATTATGTAAAGAGACTATAACTTTACTGACACCTACAAGGCAAGGGGTTTATCCATCTATACTTTTAGATCCTACAGCTCCATCAGCAGAAAAATCAATCCGCACCATCATGAATTAAAGAAATGTTCATTGTGGATTTGGTTGCTTCTTATTTTTCTTCTATGTAGTATTAGTGCCGTTTCTTATACAAAACAAAAATGGTTGGATTAATGAACAAAATGTAATTCTGTGTGCAATCTGTATATTTCTCTGTGTGTTTTGCTTTACCGCATGTCTACTTGATAAAATAAATGCCTAACTGGATGTATTAAATCAAACATTTTGTTTAAATAAATTGTTTCCGCTGTGTTTTTCCTTCTTTCTGCTGTTCTGTTCAGGGGTTGCAGTCACGCTGTGTGGTGCAAACCAGCAGCTCCAGCATGAAAAAAAATGTTGAGCTGTAAAAACCCACTGGTACGTTTGTGTATAAAAAGATACATGACATTTCCACAATATTTACATTTGATGAAATGAAGCAGTTATAAAAACATGCACTTGCGGTGGAAGAATTTCTGTGTAAGCAGCATCACATAGCTGCAATGTGTTGGAACAAACACACTGTAAATACCATATAGTGATGAAATGTTTATTTCCTACTCTAAAGCTGCTTAGGAGAAAATATTCATCACCTTTCTGAAACATGGACATGTGAGCACATTATAAAATCATTATGGATTTTATTCTTCAAAAAAAACAGGTGAAGTTAATGTAATAAGTAACATGTAACTGTCTCTGTACTCCTCACACATAAATGCACACACAAAACCACCACATGTAAATATAATGTGCAGTACGAATTTATTAATAGCCAACACTCTCACAAATACCGAAGCATCACATCAGAAGTAACAAAATCTACACACACCTAGACAGGTGGGTGGTACTACTAGCAAACGTTTAACACACACACACGTGTGGGCGTGGTGTGAGGAGCATTGATCTGTAAATGTTGAACCTAAATTTCAAACTTTCCAAATAGCAACAAGTTACAGGCTGCACACTGTCACCTCCCTACGGACTTCTATCGTTGACATTTTCATTTCCTGTTTGCCAGCTTGTCACTCCAGTAATGCATGTCTGTACCAACTCTTTGGATGCACTACCCTCATGCTGTTGCTCCTAAAAAGCCTTGTTAGACTGCAAACATTAACCACAACAGCAACCTCAACTACTTCCCACAAATGAGGAAAGGGGGGTGGGGGGGGGGTCTCCAACAGGTCTTGGTGAGAGCAACATGCTGTCTGGGGGCTGAAAACACAGCAATCAAACTTTTAGGGCTACAGCAGAGGAAAAAGAAAAAGTAACTCACCAAATCTCAAGACGTGTGGCATCCCATGTGAATATCCCACACAGTGTAATAGCAGCAGCAGCAGCCTGACGGTGCACCTGACTCTCGCCTTAAATATCAGCAGGGAGGTATTCTTCATGGTGCTTGTGTGGTGCACAGGATTTTTATTCCCTGAATCGGTAAATTCCCAACAATGTTTTCTCTTTCAACCCTTTCACGTGAAGCAAGGCGGCTGCAATATCATGGCATGATCACCACCGGCGGGCTGGCCATCGGTTTCCCCACATCCATTTGGCAAAAAAAAAAAAAGCACTGCGTGTCCAGCTCACTGCGCCAAGAAGAAACAGCCCTCCGACTCAGCTGAGGAAGATGATGGTGGTGGTGGTGGTGGTGGTGGTGGTGGTACTGGCTGGGCATCCATGCTAGGCAGGGCAGCGCTTGAAGAAATCCATCTACTGAAAGACACGGGCAGAGATTGGAGGGGGTGAGAGGGGGAGAGAGGGGGAGAGCGGAGGTTTGTGGAGATCCAGCGTGACCAAGTGAGAGTGTGAGTGAGTGAAGCGGCGGTCTCAGCAGCCTCGCCAGCCCGAGCTCCTCCTGCTGCACTGCCGCACAGCATCTGACGTAGAGCCAACACTAGTAGTGGGAGAGCGCGCGGGGTGAATGAGGCATGTTTCTCGGCTACCGTTGACCACACTTTGCCCCTTGATCTACATCGCCTCCCGAAAGTGGCATGCCTCCCCCACTCCTCATCCTTCCTTCTCCCTCGCTGATGTGGTGTCCCCTGCCAGCCGGCCGCCGGCTCGGTTCAGTGGCTGCTGCTGGCAGCGGAGCACAGCCAAATCTATGAATTTGAAAATTCGCCTGCGTTTGATCGGAGTCGCTCAAGCTTGGACTCATGTGAGGGCTCCGTGAAGCATACCTGTCACTGTACACTCAACATGATGAATAGCCTCTGCTCACCCCCGTATTTCAGCGCTCATGTTCTATCTTTGGAATTATTACTTGTTTTATTTTCTACTTTTCCTGAGACTGAGCAGCCTGTTAGATAAGAGCCAACCCTCAACGTCAAATTTCAATTTCACGTGTGTCCTCTGACTTGTGATCGCAAGAAGTGCCATAAAGTCTCCTTCATGACTGCTGAATTACTGAGTGCCCTTACATGATGTGAAAATTCAATATTTTACAATAGAGCTAGTCTGTAGATCAAACGTTTTACAAATAAGTCAGAAAATTCCATAAGGATTTCACAACCATATGGGTTATTTTTACTAGATATCCAGATAGAAGCACACAGTACTGCTGCGTTATTTCCAAGGTCTGTAGCATAAATGGTCAAATTCTTGTTGGTTAACCTGAATAATAATTTCTTAATTTCATAGATTTCTTCTCTAAACTCCACAATTTAGACAGGATTAAGAGTATTGTCTGTATTGTGGCTAGGCTGATTTAAACATGGAGCAAATAAAAAGAATGGCCAGCTGGCCTCTACTGCGCGCTATCAGCAATATATGATAACTGGAAATTAAGAGGGTTTTCAGGAAAACATTAAGCAATGACAAAATGCCCTTTCTTCCTTTAACATACTCAGTTCTGGGATAATAAATATCGTATTGAGATTGTAGACCGCCTCAACATTTAGGCCACAGCTGGTGGAATTTGTTTTACGAGTCTTTGCTTTAAGGAATTTTCAGCTCCACGGACAGCGGCCCTGTTTCAGATCAATCTTTGCAGTCAGGACCACGGACAGAGACTGGGTTTTGAAGCATTGAGAAGGTTTCAGCACCACAGACAGCGACTCCGTGGCCCCTTATGTTCTTTATTTGCCAGCTTCCCCCTCCTTTATTAGCAGAGAGCGTTCTGTTTGGACCCAGTCCATGTGATGGAACAGTTTTTACCTAAAGGGTAAATATTTTTCCATTATGCCAGACCGCTCCCACATTAACAGTCATTTACTGGAGGAAACAAACACCCAAACACCCAAATAACTAAGCAGCCTGACTGAAATGAACTCATTTGTAAGTTGTATGCACAGGCGATGTGATTTTAAAAATAATAAAGTAGTTAGGACCTAATTTGTACTGGGGTAGAGTCAGCACCTAGCCCACCATGCAACGGAACTTATAAGTTGATTTCTCCATTTTTAGAATTGGCTTGTTTATTTTATTTTTCAGGGCAGCCGCAGAGAGCTTTAGAGGCAGTCAAACGGCTTCCTGAGCCAATATGTGACTAATGAACGAAACGAAACAAACACATCCGAGATATTTTTACATCTCCCTGTGCAATGAGAACATCGACGCGGTATTTTAACGCACACAGGTAATAAGAGGAAGGAGCAGCCGCAGGTCTCTGAAAGCCCTGCATAAAGGGCATATGTGTGGTTCTGGGGTCTGCGGGGTTGGCAGGCGGGGAAAAAGCACAGTTGGCGCCAGTGCGTACACTCATTTGGATTTTTTATATTCAGCTCTTTTTACAGTTCAACAAATGCTCCTTTGTAAATGTGAAAAGGGCTTTTAAACAGGCTGAACGGAAGCCCATCCACTGGGCAGCGCTGCGTGATGATGCAGTTGATTTAAAGCTAATGTGCTCATCAACTATGGGATTTAAATGCGCGGCTTGTCTCCGCGAGTTTCCACACAGCCCCTGGGCTGGAGACGTTATCTACGGATCATTCATAAAGCGGATCCCCGTGAGCATTTAACGACCCCATAATGTCTTTCAACCTCAACAGTGAAGGCATCAGCCCGAGGAGGAGAAGGAGGAGGAGGAGGAACCCGAAAAGGTGACAAGCGTCTCCAGATAGAGGTCGGGCAAAGACACGGGAGGTCACATCTCTCCAAGGCTTGTTAAACGACACATTCTGAGACATTTAAATGTTGTTTTCGCTCTGGGCGCGCAGCCTAAAAGCTGCTTTTAAACTCACGGATGAACTTAGAATCTGACCGGAGAGGTGTGTAACGGTGTTTTCTGAGTGTTTTGCCAGTTGGACAAAAAAAAAAAGCTCCTACTTCGGTATTTTTCCAAAGGTATAACCAGTTCCTCAAAAGATGCTAAGCGCGAAAAAAAAAAAAAAAAAAAAAGAGAGACGCGCAGTAAAAAATATGTAAATCAAGTTGGAAAGAATGGACTTACCCTATGCAGAGATGTAGCGGGGAAGAGTAACCAGAGCAGCACAAAGAAGTTGATTTGTTTCTGAGGAGCAGCCGAGACGCTTCCCCCGCACTTGCATCTGGTAGCGTTGCGCTGCGCTACGGCCGGAGGGGAGACACGCCTCCTGTTGGACGGCAGGACGCACTGCTTAAAGCAACAGGGGGGCACACGTCGGACCAAGGGACTCACCAACACCGACTCTGCAGCCTCCCCCGACGGAGGAGACTCGGTGTCAGGTCGGACTGAGGCACAGTTTGGTCCCTGTCCTTCACGTGGACATTTGCACTCTGAGGTATAGCATTGCAATGCAGACACCATTACAATTTGGGAATCAGAGGCGCGAATGGGTGTAAAGGTGTGGTGCTGCTCATGTTGCAGACTGGGTCAGCCCCATCGTGTAAAATGGCACAAAAGTCAGGAATCTGAATAAATGCACAGATATAAGTAATAACAAGATAACATCTCGGGTCTTACGTCATTCTACCAAAGATTAAACTGAACACATTTTATTTAGTTAGTTTGCGACGTTTGTGAATTGGATGTCACATGAAATGACTTATTTCTTGTTCATAGATTGGAAGCTGAGCTAAAAGCATGCAAGCTTCATATCAGTTCTACAAACCTTAAGCAGATGTTAAAGGTTTGGTGGTAAATTATATTAAATGTACAGACTTGTTCCCACTGCTTAGGGTTAGGGTTCATGGGAAACCTTTTTAGACCCATCAGTTCCCTTATAATAATCTATAATTTTATATATAAAACTGTTCCATAACAGTTTTGTAAAGAGTTGTGAAATTATAAATATTTTTATTGCATGTGCAGGCACGGGATTCACACATAGGACTTTGTATTGGAAAGCAAATGCAAATATCAGTACATTGTTGTGTGTTTGTGTCCTGAAGCTGTTCAAAGCTTACAGACATTTTCAGTGATGCTTCTTTAACTGTTAAATCTCCTTTAGAACTGTATTCCTGCTAGTGTGGAAAAAAAATCTGAAGCATCAGTTGTTAATAATAATAGTAATAATAATAAGAATAATAACATTTAGACCATTTGAGGGACACCAGAAGCTTAATTTATGGTGATCATAGTTAACCTGTTCCATTTGTGAGGAACACAACAATTCCACATGATGAACTGTTTATCACAGAGCTGTAACATTTATCTCCAAACACCAGACAAACAGTGTTTCTTCCATATATCTGTCCTGTGCGAGGCCTCAGTGGCTTTCCAACCTGATACAATAAATTATTAAGAAAACTATGAAAATTATAAAAAATATTTTTTTTAAAAAGGAAAAACATACAAACGTCACGTCAGGTTACAGTACAGATATTATTTCAGTGTAGTCAGGCAGGAGCGGCCGACACTGACTCAATAATGTTATTTTGTGTAACCGTGAAGCATATTGAAAAACAGTGTTTGTACTAACATGTACTGTAACTGATTTGTTCTTTAAAACCAGTGAAAAAGTCCTGTGTGGCGAGAAGCTTTTCTCTGTTCAATTTGTTTCTAAAGTGACGAGTGACGATATCTTGACATTAGGCGAGATAATGTCTTTTAATTCTGCAAAATCTTGATACATCTTGATTTGCATAGAAACAACTGACGTGATCTCCTTTGCCTGGCAAAGTCAGTTTTCCTCAGATTGAGTTCCTGAATAATTGACTTGTTAACACTCCTTTCATTTTGTTTCAGCATATCGGCCAATCCAAAGGCAGGATCAGAAATAAGGGGTGAGGCCATCAGACAGAAATAACTGCAAGGAGATATACAATCCAGTGGTGAAGGAGCACATCACCGCAGTGATAGAGACCTGATCTGAGGCCACAGTCTGGAGCTGAAATGAAAGGGAGCTTTCACCCCCCACCCCGCAGCCCTCACCCCCAACCCCAGTATGGAGCATGAAAAGTTGAATTGTGTGGGCTACAAATAAATAGACAATGACAGCTTTGTGGTCCAACAACCTCTGCTACTCTCAGCCGTGGGACACAACAGGGACTGAAACCCCTGGACGCAAAACATAAGAAAATTTATTTAAAACATTTTAGAGATGAAATATTCAGCCAGAGTGGTTTAGATTTGCAGTGATGATAAATAATAAATGATAAATTCCAAAACCAGTTGATTGAAAACTTACTGTTTCACAGAGTTTAACATATAGAACAGGCACCTTTTCAAAAACAAAAAGATTTTCTAAATCTAGATGCTACTGTTTTGGTTTTTAAATGGTGATTTGGGCCACACGGTAAAAACAGTTTGAGGTTAATAATAAAGAAATAATAACAGAAAGTCAAAATTCAGAAATGTAAAACTTTTGAGATGAGGTTAGAATTCTGTCATAAAAGTAAACACAGAGATTAAAGTCATAAATCAGAGACAAAAAGTCTGCCAGTTTTTAAAAAAAAATGTTGGATATACGATTATGAGTTTGTCCATTAGGATGCCACTCAAAAATAAAGTTTTGAATTTTCATCTTCCCACCTCCCAAATGTGTTAATAATGTGACAAAAACAAAAAATTTGGATGTATTTTAATAATATTTACTGGTAGCTCAACACTGACAAAGTTTTACAATATTCAACATTTTCTGATTTTATCATGTAATATTAACTTTAATGTCACAAGTTAGAATAATGTAAAAATCCTCAAAAGGAAGACAAACAGCTGCTAACAGTTACTTCATAAGTTAATAATGAACAGTTAAGTATATATATAGGTGTCCAGAGAATGACTGTATTGCAGCTTTAGCAACAGCTCCATGTGTTTTCAGCCCACAGAGCAACTGCACGTTATACAGTCTATGCACTTAATTAGGGAAGTGAAGGAGTGTTAAAGGTCAGCGGTCGTCCACTAACCGGAAGGTTGGGAACCACAAATTGTCCATGGATTGAGCCCCAGGCCTTTCTTTGCGGAGTTTGCATGTTCTCCCTGTGTCTGTGTGGGTTCTCTTCATGTTCTCCTCCCACCCTCCAAAGACATGCATAGGTTTATTGGTGACTCTTAAGTGCCCTTAGGTTATTTTCCATTACATTGAGTGGCACCCTATTGTACATGCTCCCATATACATATATCCTTTATATGCAGTATCTCAACATATGCTGTAGTAACAAATTAAAATCAAATGCTTTTATTGTTCAGTCTGTAAGTGATCTGAGCACCATTCCCATCACATCATGGTCTGCATGAGCCACATTCCAATAGGGCCCCATTTATTTACATTAATGAATTCCATTCATATGCTTAGCCAATTAATCACAATTTTCATTCCATTATAGACAAATTATTACATTTTCAGTTATGTTAAACATTTTTATTACATTTTGTGCACTTAATACAAACTAGACTGCTACCAGCACTGGGGAGGCAGCGCACATTTGGCTGGGCTCTGTCTCTGAGTCTTGCTTCCTGTTGCAGAAGACAATTTGTAGATTATCCAAAACTTGGGTTGCACCCAAAGACCGTTAGGAGGGTGCTGTGGGTCTGGTCTTGATACCCACCCAGACCCTGCCCAAACCCTGGATCAATGTTGGTAAATCATCAGGTTATTCACGGTATCATGTCTAATGGAGAGTTTAAGATCTGACCCCACAGCTGCCCTTAGATCCTGATTCAGATTCTTATAATTCTAAAGTGATTGGGGACAGAAATGCACAAGATCACTACCAGCTGCTCGTCAGGATCAGTGACACTGAGGAGAGGATGAAAAGACAGCTTTAAGAGGTGTCTGAAAAGTAGCTTATTCAGTTGAGCACCAAGGACTGACAGCTCTGATAAGGCTGTGATATGAGAATGAATTAATAAGGCTTTATCGTGGCAGGCCTAGGAACCATTCAGCTCATTACAGGCCTTCTACGTGGTACATCAACACTGTGGACATCCGGCCTTTAACAATGACTCGCAGGTAGCAGGTTGCATGTCTCACAGGCAGTGCTGGGCAGTAATGCTGCGTTACTGCGGAACTACTGAACGCACCATCCTCGACGGGAATGAGGACAGCGCTGCAGGTCAGCGGCATATGTTGCTCAAGTCAGCCAAATAGCTAAAGGAAGAATGGAGGACGAGGCAGAGAGGCGTTCTTTCCTCAGCCGGATGTATCACCATTATTGTGTCACAGTCTAAGATGCAAAGAACATTGTGCGACCAGCAAAAAGTTTTTAAGGAGTAATAAGTAACTAGTAACATTATAATTTCTGAGTAACTTGCCCAACACTGCCCGTGAGTAAAAAACGTGGTGAAACGGTCATTAGGTTTAGATAGAGGTTTGGATTAAAATAAGCGTGTTAGGAACGTTTTAGGTTAGCTGACCTGGTAGAGCGTGTGCACGGTGGCTAAATGATGCCATTGATTACAAAAATATGTTGATTTGCTTAACGTGCGTCGGTGTGTCTATGCAGGGATTTCCCCAGAGAACAAGCTGCAGCTAAACCTCGTCTTCGACTGTGTAAAGTTTGGGAGACCCAACAACGTGGAGCTCTGTAAGCTCTCTAAATTAGAAATGGCTTATCACAGCAGTACAACTGCAATGCACAAACACTGGAATCATCCTGGAGCACTTTGTCAAGATGGCAGCAAGTCAGCACCACTGATCCTGTTTACTTTTTGTCCCCACAGAAGCCCGATACAGGATCATGAATACAAGTAGCGTGTTTCTGTTAGTAGTAGTCACTGAAAATTTATCTTCTAAAAGTAATTTCTGCACCACTGCTGTCTTGGTAACGTAATGTTACAGACTGCTGTTACAATCTTTGATTGTTGTTACAGTCTGTTAATGATTACTGCATATTAGGCTTCACCGGTGATGAAATAAATCCAAACAAGTTATAACTCAAGTAACTTCAGTAAAAGTACTGATTCTCCAGTTCAGGGAAAGGGTTGAGATGCACTGTTTAAATGAATGTGTGTCACAGAATTCCTTCTGAATTTCAGGTCCAGTATTTTTCTGATCTGGCATCTCAGACAGGGTCTGTTATTATTATTATTAATAATATTATACCACACAGGGACATGGAAGTAAGACTAATTTTATAATACGGCACTATTATCGTTATTCTAATGTGTTTTATTTGTCTCTTTTTCAGAATGATTGAACA